GTTAATTGCATTCTTTAACATTAAAACTAGCAGTAACTCTGAACTCATGTAAACAAAGAATCTTCTGTGCGCTGGCGTCCTCCCACAGGTTAAGAGATTTTAAACAAACACATTTAGTTAAACAAATGAAACAATACACATTTTAATGCTATAAAAGTGTGCACATTGAGAGAAGTAAACAAAAGATGTTCATGTTAACAACTTCTTTAACTTGAGCAAACACTGCTAATACACATATACATTTGTTAATAAAGTTAATAAAATGAAAACATGCATGTTTAATGCAAGAGAATCAAAGGAAACGATCCACCCGCATGCCTCTGCTCAACGATGGTGCCTGGATCAGTGAGCTGCATCTCGGGCCGATGACATCCCTTCCAGGGAGGCATGCCCAGGCCTGTTGTACACGCCCCCATCCATTGACTCCACCCCCATGTCAAAACAGTGCCAGAAAGCGAGATGCGCAGAAACGTAAAGCGCAAAGGGAAAAACAGTATCGCAAGCTCAAACTTGACTGAAACGCAAAATAACAGCAGCGTTGCAAATAAATTAGTAGATATGGCCATGGAAAATATGTATTGCAAAATCATTGCTTTTGTGCTGTTTCATTTATATTTTGCAATTCTTTATTTTTGTTTGCAAAAAAACACATTTATTTTTTCTCAATACTTTTATTTTCGTTTGCAAAACTTTATTTTCTTTTGCGAAACTTTATTATTTTGCATTTCACCGTGGACGAAGCGGAGTCCAGTCCGGGGTCGTCACATGTGGTTGACGCAAGCCCTCCGGATGCTCCTTTGTGGAATCCGCCGCCTCTGCTTACTCTAGCCCTCCAGCCGTTCCTCACTTTATCCCCCAGCCTCTGCTCACTGTAGGCCACTGTGTGTGACGCTGTGTTTCGTTGTGAAAGCGAAACTATGTTGTTTGGCCTTCCAAAAATGGACACAACTAGAAATCAGTGGTTAAGTTGTATTTACAACACTGTTCCAGAACACTTCAACCCAAATATTCAGATGTGTCCAGCGAATTTTATGGAGGACCGTTTCCTGATCCTGGGAGAGTAGACTACAATGCCAGTTTTTGTATTTTATATATTTAAAGTGAGTTTTTTGGGCAGTGTAGAGTAGGGCTTGTTGTTTGTTATTTCTCCGATCACAAATGCAGACATGGTTTTATGTTTACACGGCGCGAATATGGTAAGGGGCGTAAAATTTCCGTCACATGCTTGAGATATTCGGCCAATCACAACGCACTGGACAGCTGGCCAATCACAACACACCTTGCTTTTTCAGACCGATGAGCTTTGTAAAAATCGACGCGTTTCAGAAAGGCGGGGCATAGAAGAGAAAAAATAATGTACAGTATGTGGAAAATAATGTGTTTTTTTAACCTTAAATCGCATAAACACATTTCATTACACTAAATACACAAAATAATGTTCTTTTTAGCAGCATCATATGACCCCTTTAGCAATTTTGTAGTAACTGTACTGGTTACAGCTTCCATTACATCATCTTTGTGGGCAATACATAGATGGTGAATGACATTAGGCATCCTTATTTTATGTTCAAAGGACATTTTCTTTAAAAAATCTCCAACCCAACACATACATTCACCCAATAAAATCTGTATTGGAGTTTTGTGACTTTTAGTCCATGTGAGTAAACTTTAAGCCACCTATCGACTATTTAAGTCGACAATCCTGAGCTGTGACGTCAAACACAGCAGAGGGAAAAATATAAAAGTCACACTCGCCAAACATCTACTATAAAATAAAGAAATGCATTTGCAATTTATATGTTGTTTGACAAAAAATTTAAAATAAATAAATAAAATAATAATAGTCAGAATACTAAGCTACTTTTGAATGGACAAATATGGCTGTTATCCCCACAATGGTGTAGTTACAGCATCTACCAGCAGGGGCTAAATGCTCAATAGGAAATACATCAGCACAGCAAAACTGTGCTTGTGAAGCCAGAGTTCTTTAATACCCGCTAGCGAAGGATAACAGGTCTTCAATTGTTTCACCTTGAATAGTTCATTGTAAATTTAAGCCAAACTGAACACAATGAAAGCATATAACACAGAGACATAGACAGACCCCAGTGCAAGCACATCTAAAATGTGTAACCTTAGTGGTGGGGATACCCTTCTTTAAAAAAAAACACATCAGAGGAGGAGAGGAGCAGAGGGCGTCTTCAAGGTTATTTGGGTTCCCTGAGGGGTTTCAGTCATTGTAGTACAGTTTCATTGTGCATCACCATGTTCTTGTGGCTGTGAGAACCGTTGCGTACAGTATGCAAAACTTGACATTTCTTTCAAAAGGTGTGTGGGGGGGGGAGCCAGTCTGGAAATTACTGGAGCATTAAAGCTGTAACTGTTAAACGATCTACCAGCAAAGCCCCCCCCCCCAACAAATACACACCAAACGGTTGGCATTGTGCACTTAAAAATGAAATTTGTAAATTTAACTTACAAAACCTAGCCTAAACACATTCACAAAGTATATATTGTTTGTGAAAAGTTCAACGCCTGTTGTTGGCGTAAAAGCTGCTTCTCTCAGATGTGGTTTCGTCAAGTAAGTGTTTCCAGAACCTGAGAGAAACCAGATGTAAACTGAAAGTGGAATGTCTATTTTAGTGTAAGTTCATTATTATTTGTGTTACTTGGCGAAATTAATGTATGCAACTTTGCAAATAACAGAATATACAGTGAACCCAAAAACGATATCCACTACAAGAGCTTTAAAACCTCAATGCTACGGTGAACAACCAGTATTCGGGTGTTCTCATTGGTGTAGAAGGAGTGGGAGGAGACTAAAGGGACATTCACACCAAGAACTATAACTATGAAAACTACATTATTAACTATATTAGCGTTCATGACAAAGGACAGTAATGTTCTTTATAATAAGCGTGAGATGCAGTTATGTTGCCTGCCACTTTAAAAACTCAACCTGGGTGGATTCACATTGGCTGTTTTTATTGTTGATCAGCTGGGGGGGGGGGGACATTTTGAAAGGGATTTTAACAATATTGTTCTTCTGTGTCGTTATAGATGTGATGTAAACTTCCCTATTCTCACATAAGAACCATTATTACAACTTTATCATAATAGTTATCGTTGTTGGTGTGAACACTGCTGAAAAACTAACAAACAAACAAAAAAAAACAGCTAAAACCAGTCAAAGCTGGTTGGCTGGTCTTAGCTGGTCTAAAATGGAAGCAGCTGGTTTTAGCTGGTCTCCAGCCTGCAAACCAGCTATGACCAGGCTGGAAGACCAGCTTAATCTGATGCTCTGTTTACATTTACAAATATAACTCCTTAAGAAAGAAAGGTAACTATTCAGTTTCCACTAATGAAAACAATGTTACACAAAAGCTGCTATACATTAAATGGATAGTTCAAGCAAATAACAATTCTGATATTATTTACTTACTTTTATGCCATGCCAACCCATTAATATTCACTTAAAAAAACAGGTATTTGACAGAAATGTCCTGAGGGAGCTTCCAATCCAATGAAAGAGGACTACAATTCAGTAGTCAATATAACTTGTGAACAATCTCTTCTGAAGCAACACTTTTTTATGACACTGAAATGTAAGTCATCCACTAAGAGCATATTTGTCGTTACTCTCAAGTTTCATTCGCGGGTACCGTTGATTCAAAAATGGCGCGCTCAGAATCCTTGATTCTGACTGTTACCTTTAGGGACCCCATAACACCACTGGAAAAACAGAGAAGCTCAACGATTATGAGAGAGCAGGCCTTTAATTATGCTGGTTTAAAGGAGGTGCCATGTTCCATGATAGTTTCCATGATAGTTTGAAGTATTGCACATAATAATTTGATAAAGATCTCCAGCCTCCACTGCAGTGACTGATAAGGAGATCTCAAATAACAATTTGCACACCTTCGCTTTCATTTTCTTCATGGAATTGTTCTTATCTGGTGGGTTGAGTTGCTCATTAACCAATGCCATCAATTTTGCAAAATATGATTATATCATCAGTGTGGGTACAGAAAAATGCATGCGTGAATTGATGTTTGTTCAGAGAGATGAGGAGATGACAAAAGGGGTGTTTTTTTTTGTTGTTTTTTTTAGAGTTTCATTTGTGGCCAATGTGGGCAGCTGCATTCAAAATTGGCACCAAAAAAAAACAAAAAAACTTTTGTGCCTTTTAAGGCAAAGGTATGCTATTAGCAAATAGTAGAAGGAAATAGTGTTTCCACTATTCTGTTCTAGATAAGTTTCGGAGAAGCTTGTTAATCTTGTCCTGTTTAATAAAACCAACACATATAAGTGGTTGCTTACCTCACTCCCATGGCAAATCTATTTATCTTTACCACTTTAAAGAATTAGATGGACTTTACACTGAAAAAAAATTGTGTAGGATTTTGTTTGCAACAATTTTCACTCAGACATTGCTTGTAAATTGAGCATGTTCTCTTGTAAAACATACTCAGAAATCCTGTTTTATTTACAACTTGTAGTTGAATATTAGTTGCAGTACATCTTCATATCCCCATCATAAATGTCTTAATGTATCAGATAAAATATTAAACTCACAATTTAGGATCATTCAAATCATATTTATTTTGTTTTATCACGGTATCACTTATAAGTGAACATGTATTGTAATATTTGTCATGTTCTCAGGTGCTATTTCTAATCTGAAAACATATTATATTCAAGGTGTTTCATTTTTAATTTCTCTTATCAAAATGTTTAAGACAAAATTTGTTTTTTTGGAAATCTCAATCAATGAACTTTCTTATTTCTGCATCTATCAGGAAAGGTTTCAAAGGACAAATAAGTCAACAGCACAGATGCGCTTGATTTCTAGAAAAAATGGTGAAAGATGACAGCAAGAAAGCAAAAGAAGACCAATCACAGATGTCTGAGGTGCAAAGGGGAGGGGCTGGTTTGAGTTTAGAGGTGGCCTTGCTAGATCTCACCCACATGTAGGCTTCCACTGGTCGATGACACCTCTGGTTGAGGTGGCGATGCGTGTTAATGCATCTCTGTTGACTTGCTCGCGGCAGGACACAGCCTCCACCTTGATCGCATAGGTACGTCTTTGAAGGTTTCTGTCAGTCAGGCTCATCTTCTAGTGTCATCTTGCTATTTCTCATCTTGTCTGCTGTCTGTCTGCATCTTCCCCTCCTCCATCACCAAGTGCAGTGCTTTCTATATCTGGATAGACATCTTCTGATTACAAAAGCATCCGTGAAAGTGTCTGATTGTGTGTGTTGAGGTCTTTTCTGACTGCAGGCCCGGAGAGGATGTGTCACTGAAGACAGGTTTTCCCCTGTTACTCATGGGCCTCTTTCTCTCGCTGTGTTTCTTTATGTGGGCCTGACCGTTGCACTTTTGCAGTTTTCTAAAGTCATCACCTGCATTTGAGTGTCTGTTATACAGTCTATTGGTTCCTTCTTCACTAGTGGTTGAGATTTATGTTAATAGCGCTTTTTAGATTGTTGTGACCAGGGCTAAGGAAGGGCTTTTGTTGGACAGTAGTTTTTACATCTGATGTACTGTAGTTTCGTACAATGAAGGAAAAGATTCAGTTTGGTTATGGGACAGAGTATAACCTACGTTTCATATCCAGACATTCACAGGCCTGCATGGCAGGTAAGTCAATTGCTCATTGCACTATTACCGAATTTACAGTCATTTTAGTCAAAACTGCATCGCAATTACGACACATCTTCCTCAGTTTCATTCTTCTTATTGTCACGCTCAAATGAGACTTCAACTGCACCAGGGCTTTAAAAGAAGTGGGCAAAGAAAGAATAAGAACTGGTGAGAAATCGTTCGCTGTTACATTCTTTGTTTGGCGTACTGTAAAACTAAAAAAAAAATTGTGCACTTTGTGGCCTGGTGTTTTTGTTTTTTTGGAGTTGCTAGAGTGACATTTAGAAAATGCGTGACATGGATAATGAATATTTTTATAGTTTTTTTTTTACTATTTTAGATTGAGAATTTAGAATATGCTAAGCATGTACGATATGCTTTACTAGATTCAGCTTCAATTATAAATTTCCAGTGATTTCTGTAAAGCAAAAACTTAAAGCAAGAAATGAGTTTAGGCTGGTAGCTTTGGCGATATGATATTCATTTTTGCATGTTTTAGGACTAATAATGGCATATTATATTCTAAGCTGCATTTTCAGTGTAGGCTAGATTAAGTACAGTAATATGACTCACTTTTATTTATGCCACACTAGACTATTAATATTATAGTATAACACATGACTCATCTAGCTTTTTCAGGAAAAAAAGGTACACACACACACAAGCTAATGCTACAAACAAATGTGCAAAGGATAAGTAGTCTATTTTGTTGGCAGCCGAGTATATTCAGTTTTAAAGGGACCGTTCACCTAAAAATAAAAAATAAAATAAAAAATGTAGTCATATACTTACACTCTCATGTCATTCCAAACAATGTCTTGTACATTGCACAGCTGCACAATGAAAACCAATGTAGTTCAATATGTTTGGACACCTGTGCTCTACAACGACCTTCTTTTTTGAAGAAATGCGGAATGTCATGAGTAAATGACGGCAAAATTTTAATTTTTGGGTAAACTATCCTATTACATTACTTAGTTCCAGATCACATAAGCTGTGTTAGCCAAACTACATTATGAGTGCGTAAACTCTCAAGTCAGTTATGAAAAAGAAATATCTGCACGCACCTGTTTGGTATGATGCCTCACAATATTAACGTTGAGTTGTTTCAGTTGTTTTTGCATGCTTTGCTGGGTGAGTGTGTGTGTGATGGGTGTGTGTGTCTCACTTTTAACCAGTTCAGCATCAATTCTAGTAATTAGAACATCGAGCATCGTCATCTCAGTACAGTGTGTTCTACACAATCCGTCACCGTTGCGTCTGCGCTGAGAGGGGAGTGATCGTATCCGCATAAGTTTTTGCAGGCATTTGATGATCTTCGACTTTCTTGTTCACGCAGATCGACAACAAAATAGACAATGGACCGCTCATACAGCGTCAATTTGCGTCTCGAATCTTGTACATCTCATTACTGTCCAAATACGGCCATCTCATATTCCAGGACGGTCATGTTTCTTATTTGGAGCGTCATTCTTTGCATGCATTACAAGATCGAGTATCAAAACCGTTCCCCCCCCACACTGCCTGCATCACTTTCTGCGCAATTGTGAGGAATTAGAACGCAGCTGACATGTACTGTAATCAAACGCTTCACCAGACACCACATCACACTGCTACTACAGTAGATGCATATCTAAACCGACCTACTGTATGGCTTTGATACTGTTGTTGTTGATCAAACAAACTTGAACTCTTACGAGTCTCCGCGTACCGGCATTAGTCAGAGTTTCACATTCTGAAGAGGTCTGTGGCTTCATCATAAAAGCTCCACAACAAAATTTCAAAGGTGATGCAAAATGTGAAAGGCCCTTTGCCGCCTGACATGACCAGACATGTCCGCCTCCGTGTTGTGCCATACACAGATAATGCAATTCCAGTTCATGGTTGAATGTATTGTGAGCCAGAAATGATTAAACATTGCTTAGAGTTTCATTTTGTGAATTAGATTGTCTGCCTAATGTATGAAAGTAGGTTAGAGGTGTTGTGACGCTGATGATTTCAGAAAAAAACCCTACTCGATTCTTCTCAATATGTCTTTCGCAATCTCTGAAATTAAGTCAAATGGCCTATATTGCTAAGCATATGTTCAGTCTTTTTTTCGGCCTATCTGTCTGAAAGCCATGAGGTCTCTTGTTTAGTTTTAAAACAGCTGAACGATGAAAGGTTTGATCAGTCCTCGGATGCATGTAAAAAAAAGTCTGATTAAGATTGATCATCTTATTCATGACTGTTGGATGTCTAGAGATTGATATCATCTGCTCAACGTATGTGCCATCAAATGAGCGGACAAGAATAGTTTGAGTTGGGGAAATTTATTTGGACTATTAATGATCTTTTTATTAGATTTTTTTTAGATATCCAAACAATACCCAAGCCAGATACATACATAAATTGAAGAATGAATAAACAATTGCCAATCAACATGTCAATAAATAAGTAAATAAAAAGATAAACAATTAAATAGATATTTTTTCATTAATCAGAGAGATGGGTATTGTTATCTACGGTTAAAAAAAACATTTCCATTTATGCTTATCAGTTATACTTATCAATAAATATAACTAATCTATTGATCCATTTTTCTCAGTGTTTTTAAATGATTTTTACTTTTTTGGGGGGGGGGATATGTGATACATGTGTGATTATATATTAGTGTTTACATTTGTTTTTAATAATATAGCATATTACACAAAACTGTGTAATTTATATAATCCAATTATTTTAATATTTTATAATTTCCTGCGAGATTAATTTAAGATTCTTAGATTTTTACTCATTGTAAAATTGTCCCATGACAAACTTAACTTCTGTTTTTTGTCCCATGACAAACTTAACCTCTGTTATTTTTCCCCATCTAAAGGCTGACATGAGATTTCTCATCTCGATATCAAACCTGATCATCTCACTTCAGCTGCACCTTTCACTCTTTGAAGATGATCCGCATTCATAACCCTCACCACGTGCCATTTCTGCATCAGACGGAGCAGCTCCGCCAGGCAGGAACACTTTGCGACGCGCTTCTCACTGTGGAGGGCCTTACATTTAAAGCCCACGCTCTGATACTAGCATTGGCGAGCAAACGGCTGAAGCGACAGTTAACAAACCAGCGCGGCCCAGGTCCAAGGTACTGCTGCATCATAGACAGAGTCTCTTCTCACACCTTCAAGCAAATCCTGGACTATGTGTACAGCGAATCGCTGGAGGTGCCCAAAGATGATCTTGAGGAGCTGCTGAAGGGTGCCGAGTACCTTGAGGTGGAGTCTTTGGTAGAACAATGTCAAGCACAACTTAGAGATCCAGATTCCCCAACTAAGACAGACACGAAAGTAGCAAATTCACTCCGAGATGACAAAGCACAGAAGGACAATGAGTTGTCTAAAAGAAGCCACAATTTGGATGAAGACCACCTTGATTGTTCTTCAGAAGAAGAACGTTCTTCCACCAAGAGATCGGTCCACGATGCACATAAGAAGAGCTGTTCTCCCGTGTCTCCTCTGCCTCCCATGTTCTCCAGAGAGTCCATCATCTCCTCCAGCGCTCAGTCTCCCACCCCTCGCCTCTGCTGGCCGCCGGTCAGCCCGTCTAGGAGCATGGTGTTAAACTGTAGAGAAATTATGACCTTTCACTCCCTTCGAGCGTATCCCTACCCCGCACCCATGTACCCCTTCCTCCACCACTCCCTCCAGCCACAGGTGTCCTCCTCACTTATGGGTTACACGGGGTTGCTTCACCCCTATCACCCTCTCATACACTCTGCTCCGTTGACTCAAGACAATCCCTTCATTCCTGGTCTGAAAGGAAAGACCACCTCTATCAGCACAGCTTTAACAGGGTCCATGTCAGAAGCTCAAGAGAGGTAAGAAATGACACATAGATGACACTTACAGTGTATGAATGTTATTGGATTAGATAATTTATCAAACCGTGTGGAGTTGATTTTAAAGACAGACAGCACAAGCACAATTTACAAGGATTTTTCAAAATGCTTTTTGGTTTTAAATTATAAAATGTTCAAGGCACTTAACATCTAATGTAATGATATTCATACATCTTATTTGTGGCACAAAGAGATAGTTCACCCAAAAATAAAAATGATCTCATAATTTTCTCCACCTCATCTCGTTTTAAACCTTTGGTGGAACGTCATAAAAGATATTTTGAGAAATGTCTCCCATGTCTTTTTTTATGTTCATACAATAGAAATCAATTGTAACCAAAACTGTTTGGTGAACATCCTTCAAAATATCTTCTGCAGAAGAAAGTAATACAGGTTTGTAACAACATGAAGGTGAATTAAATAAAATTTTAATTAAAGTGTTCAAATACTTGTTCAGCCCTCTGTATACTTAAACATTAAACAATGAATGTTCAATAACAAAATTATATATTTTTTAAACGTAGAGCTTCAGAAGCCACACGACCATCATCTTTTTCAAGAAATCCAAGGTTAAAAGACATCTGAGTGTTGCCAGCATGGTGAAAGAAATCTTTTTTTTTTTTGTATAACGAAATTTTCGACAGGAAACCACATTATAGTCAGCTAATTTCAGTGGAACACCATTAGCCTGTTAAACTTGTTTTTCACCAATGCAACAACACATTTACAGTCTTAATCAAGAGCAAACACAACAAAATCTGACCTTGCTTAACTTTTATTTTTTTTTCTGCTTTTGCATCAGTTAACATCACCTCTCATTAAATATTTAAAATTGCAAAAAAAGAAATAGCTACTACAAAAGTAGTGCCCTTTTTTTTCAATGTTTTATTTATTAGATTTTTTAAAAGCATTCAAACTTTTGGTGTTGTCTGTATAAACCAATGTAATGTGGCTTGATTTATTTGATTTTGGAACTGAAGTCAGACCAGTCTTAGAAAAAAACTCACGATTGCTTGAAATGGACTTTTATCCTGATTTTAATTCTAAAATATTTTACTTCAATAAACTATTCTTTGTGTTTACACTGTAATGCCAAGCAAGTACGAGTCAAGATACTCAATCTTTATTTACATTTCATTCTTGTACAGTATTAAATCCTGAAAACCTTTTTAAACAGTATTGAAGGAGTTCACATGTGCACTGCAAACTTGACTACTTTTCCTTCACTATCCGCTCCAACCCATCCAAAATAATAATTAAAAATAGTTTTAAAAATAGTTTTATACAAAAGCTAATATGCAAGCATTGTATTTATCTACAAAACTATTTTATAACATGTCGTTTTTAAGTTGAGAAACAAATTCAGTCAAGTGTGTCAAACTTTTGACGGGTATATATGCTTGCATATGTATTCGTGTGTGTGTGTGTGTGTGTGTGTGTGTGTGTGTGTGATACCCTTCTTATTCTGTACTTTCCAACGGACACATTTTCCCCAACCAGCCCCCTTTTCCACCTACAACAGTTATCTTTCTACAGGCTCCATTAAAATGAGAGGAACTAATAACAGCCCGTGGTTCCGTTGCAGTGGAATAACAGTATTTATGCAATAAAGACGATTGTGTTAGTGTTACAGTGGGTTAAGAATAATAAATATTTGAATCAAGTACATTCATCCATAATTTGAAATGTATGGTTTAGATGTGCTTAGGCTCACAAAGATCTGTAAGTCACTCATTTAAGTCATTAGAGTGTTTATTTTTATTAGAGCTTTAAATTGTAAGTGTTTGAGCCAGTATAAAAGCACAGAAGCACCATGTGAACTATATACTGGATATGTTGGTGGAGAGTTTTGGAAAACAACACTTACTATCGAGGCCGAAACTAAGGGGAGCCCCCCCATTTGTCCCCGACTTTACAAACACTAAACATGAAAGTCAGTCATCTCCACCCTCGGAGCAGGATGTTCTATTTCAGTCTCATTTTAAGCCAAAATCTGTTCCACTCCCTAATTTGCCACACACACAAACAGGTGCCACACTCAGACAGAGATCTTTAGGCTTCTTTTGCTCAATGTATGTTGAAATGAAACATTTGAGAGCAGCAGATGCGGTATTTCTTTAGCTAAGCACGCACAGGGAAACAGAACAAGCCACCCACACACCGTTTTAGACTCAAATATATCACATTTTGTGGTTAAACATCCCAAATAATGTGAAATTTATGAAAGCCCGTCAGACTAATGTAATATATTTGGGAGAGCATATTATTACTATTTTGATTCTAAATACTCAAATCGCATAAAACCAGATGAGCTTTCCTTCACACTGTAGATTGCTTGACTCTGGCAGAGGAAACCATTGTCTGCTTGCATTGTTTCCTGCTGCCTGAGCACAAAACCTTTGTTCCTACAGTTTTTGGTCTTAGACAGAAGGAGGTGATGTAAGTCTAAATTGATTTTCTTAATCATTAATAAAACAGATTTAACAAGTCTGAATGGCAATTTGTCACCCCATGTCTTCATGCGTTGGGCTACAGAGCGTGTGCGCTGTAAATTGATGTTTGTTCGTATATTTTTTCTTCACGTACTTAACACCTCCTCATTTCTCAGTATTTTTTAACTTTGAAACATCAGGTGCATCCTGGGATCCTTTTTAAAGCATTTAAGAAGTTCCTACATACATTTGTAGAATGCTTTTCCTTCACAATGGATTAAAAAGTAATTTTTGTGTAGAAAGTAGGCATATGTGCATTCATCTAATCTACTAGTTTAAATAATTTAAGCTGAAGCGTTTATATATATATATATATATATATATATATATATATATATTCGAAATTAGAAAATTCAGTCAAGTGCGTTTTAAAAGACTTAAATGCTAGTGCCCTTTCTCGTAAATAATGTCACAAATGTGATAACACGTTGATTTTAGCAGTGGTAATCAGCAGTAACACCTGAAAGCGTGTGGGCTTCTCACTTTACCTGCTGGTCCGAATTAGCTGTGGTCTAGCCAACACACTAGAATGTGTGGAAATGCAGCTCTTGAAGTGCAACTGAACCTGCAGGTGTTAGATGACCAGATCAACAAGTGGTTTAAAAAGAAGTAAAAAAACACCAGCGGAAAAGGCAGTGACTCAGTTTGAAGATATTTGTTGATGATGAATCAAGTTCTAAAAGCAATTGTCTATGCTAATTACGCATGGAAAATATGGACATCTTTGAATGAGCATTAACATGACGACATTTTCCACAGGAAGCCAAAGGTTCAAGAGGAGAGGGAGATATGCTGCAGACACTGTGGTAAACCGGCCCTGGAAAACCCCTGGAGGCCAACGACTGGGTCATCAACCTCAGGTAATATGTTGTACAAATACACAAAAATGAATCTAGACACTTATCTGCCCAGAATAAAGGCAGCATATAGATAATCATACAGAAGCTTGCAGAAACACGAAATGCACGGCAGTAAGTTGCAGATTTTGTCCGGGATGCACCTACTTTTTACGTAGATCAGAGGAATGGATGCACGCAACAGGATGTAAATGTTGTGTATCTCTCAAAGAGCTGAAAGATGGTGGCCGTTGCCTCTCTTCCGCTTGCAGTAGTAAAAGAAAGGATAGTAGACAGTGAAAAGCAGCAAGATTTATCCATGCATCTGTAAAATTGAAGTATCATATCATAGTTTGATTCCTTTGAAATCTTTCCAAAACAATACCAAGCCAGAATTTCCCATTAAAACATGTTTTTTTTTTTACATTTATTTTTACACAGTACAATTATACATTTAGCAGACGCTTTTATCTAAAGTGACTTACAATAGAGGAACATAAGCTATTTATTACAAAGCCAATGATATTCATTTACAACTCCATGTTTACTAGAAAGACCAGGAAACAAGCCTAGGCCAGAGATGAAATACTGACCAAAATATTCATTATATTGATTTTTAAATCACTTTCTTTATTTTTATATTATATTTTTTAATGTAATTATTTTTATTAACAGTTTGACTCCCAGGGAATGCATGACTTTTAAAGTCTATACTTTCAATGCAGTTTAAAGTTGCTTTTGAATAATTCATAAATACATGCTAGCACCTAGCATTATAAATGACTTAAATGTGAATGTCATTGCCACTTTGATCATGTATTTAATTATAATGCATTGATTTACAAGGGACTACAGGCTCACTTTCCAAATTGATGTAGTTTTCAGCATTAAAAGTATTCAGATACTTTCTGATTGTCAAACATTAATGCAATGAACTATAACTGTGGGTATTCTTCTAGGGCATCTGTGTGAACCTGAAGGAAATTACTTCATACTTCAGATAAAAGAAAACAACAAAAAAACTTGACACCAGTTAACGAAAGTAAAGTTAGTTCTGAGAAATGCTCCTGCAGCACAGATGCCGATTGACATCTAATGCAAAAACATTCATGCACTGCAAGTTCCTTGACTGTCCAAAAACTTTTTAGGGGTTACTGCGTAGTCCCAATGGTGGTTGTGCTTTGTCCTGGTTTACATAACGTTCTCAGGACACAAAGGCAGAAGCAAATGACCCCTTGCCTTCTAAACTGGGGTGTAAAGCTGTGTGCAAGAGAGTGCTGTGTGGCTTTTGAATCGTGGTGCATCAGCACAGTCCTGCGGTCGATCAGCTCTGTGCTTCATGGTGGTTTGTATACAGTACCAAAGAGAAGTGTTGACTTGTTCCTCTTTCATCCAAATTGGGGTTAGAGCGCTTTTCATGTGTGTGTGCGAGCGTATTCACGTCTGAGCATATTGGGGTGAGAATGATAGTAACACATTTTAATGAGATGTTATCTTTAAGAGACTATGTAATTTAGACTTTATGTGGTATATAACATATGTGTGGGTAGTTTTAATTTAAAATTAATATAAATTTATATCTTGTAGCCGATTAGATCACGCAAAAATGAACATTGGCTGAAAATGTACTAACCCTCAGGTCATCCAAGATGTAGATGAGTTTGTTTCTTCATCGGAACAGACTGAGAAATTTAGCATTACATCACTTGCTCACCAACGGATCCTCTGCAGTGGATGGGTGCCGTCAGAATGAAAGTCCAAACAGCTGAGAAAAACATCACAATCCACAAGTAATCCACATGACTCCAGTCCATCAATTGTTGTCTTGTGAAGCGAAAAGCTGTTCGTTTGTATGAAAAAAATGAGAATGAGAACATTTTCAGCTAATTTTGCATATATGCATATTATGCATTTATGCATATTTCATGTAGTCTCTTAATTATTGCATTCATATTGCATGTCTAATAATTATTAGAAAAGTGTTGTATAATGTAGTTTTAGAAGAATAGCATGCCAACAATATATGGATTAAACTGAAAAATAAGATGCATACTTTCTTCAACTTTAATGAAAATTTTTTGTCACAATCTAAAAATGTGGTGGCATATGACTCATTCAACCTGGCAACATTAGGTTGCGCCAACTAAAGTCGCTTTTTTTTAGGTTACCAGCTGCACAGTTTTCACTTTTTACAGAACGTCCAGATAGATTTTGCATTTATAAAAACGCATCTAACAACATAAATCCTCAGTTTTAAGAATGTTCAACGTCACCTTTTCGAACAGCAAAGTTGTGCTTTAAAGGCACAGGTTTCTGCAGTTTTGTGTTACTGTGCTGCATCCTGAGTAAGTGTGTGTGTGTGAGAGAGAGAGATCGAGAGAGAGAGAGATCGAGAGAGAGAGAGAGAGAGAAAGAGAGTGTGGGGTATGTGGGAGTTTATATATGTGTGAATACAATGTCAGTCTTGGGCACACATGTTTGCTTTTGTTTCACATGACTTTCGAGTTTGCTTTTGTTTCAGCGAGCTCTGAAGTATAAGCTTACACAACCAAGTGTCCATATGATTATCACAAGATCTGTCTTCACGAATATATAGACAGAAAGTGTTAACCATGCTTTTTCTTCACATTTAAGCTGTACAGGAGAGGATGTGGTGGGTGGGTGTGTGTGTGTGTGTGTGTGTGTGTGTGTGTGTGTGTGTGTGTGTGTGTGTGTGTGTGTGTGTGGAGGGAGAGCGATATACATAAAAACTGAGCCCACGCTGCACGGACAAAAGAAATCAGAGTCCAGCACGAGCCCATAAAACACTGTCTCGAGCCATTGTTTACCAGCGCACGAGAACAACAGCACAGCCCCTTCCTCCTCCTCCCTTCATTCACGCACAGATCGCTTTCCTCCAGACTCCACACACAATGCAACTCAATCAACATCAGGGACAAGACAACGCACTAAAAACAACCGCAATAACTTCAGAAACCAAGCACTCGCACTGTCATAAAGTTACAGCGATACTTCTGATGTTACTCAACTTTAACGAGTTACATAAGTGAGTGAAAGAGATAATTAACAATTCAGATTAATAGGAAAAACTTTGGCAAAAGTGGTCCAGTTCACCCTGTATAAACTTGCACTTCATTACACTGAATTTATAACAATATCGATCACCAATTAATATCATAAAGCCCATAAAACCGAGATTTGATATACTGATATCCTTCCAAAATGCCTGCTGTTCTATTCAATATTGATTTAACATCATATTTTCATAACTGACATCTGATGTATTTCTCATTGTGTAGATACTTTGGCACAATTGTATCATGCAAAACTCATGCCAGTAAAACACTTGACTTAAAAAAAATGAATGAAACTTTATGAAAGAGAAAGTTGTGGAGAAAATGATATTATGTTTATCCCACTATCAGGCTATTCTGTGCAACAAGCTGCGCAGAAATATCACTACCAAACTCATGAAGTGTGAAAATTAATCAACGTAGAATCATACGACTATATATAATTGTGAAATGTTATTAGAGCTGATGTTAGTTACCTTGTGCCGCCGTCGCGAACGAAGCTGCCGTCAGTAGCGTTAATTTCACCAAGAAACGGTTCATAACTCCGCCTCGGCGTTACAACTTCTTTCAAATCCTTCCTGAAGCTCTCATAGATCCCCAGAAGTCTTCTGTAAATCTCCAGAAAGTGCAAAAGAGTTAGACTAAATATCCGTGTTGATTAATAAATAAATCCCGACGTCTCTCGAGAGCGTCTGCGCGTGGAAACTCTGACCGGTTCTCCGTCTGTAGACACTGTTGGGACTCTGAGCCTGCTCACGCGCCGCTGATGGTGTCCCTCCGCGCAGGTACTGAGAGAGAGAGAGAGAGAAGAAGTTTTATATTACTGTGCTGCATCCTGAGTTAGTGTATGTGTGTGTATATGTGAGAGAGAGTGTGGGGTATGTGGGAATGTGTGGGTGTTTATATATATATGTATACATATATATATGTGAATACAATGTCAAACGTGGGCATGTTTGCTTTTGTTTCACACGACTTTTGCGTTTGCTTGCGTTTCAGCGAGCTCAGAAGTATAAGCTTACACAACCTTGCAAGCGTCCATTTGATTGTCACAAGCGAGGTCTTCGCGAATATAAAGACAGAAAGTGTTAACCATGCTTTTTTTTCATATTTTAAGCTTTACAGGAGAGGATGTGGTGTGCATGTATGAGTGTGTGTGTGTGTGTGTGTGGACAGGGAGAGCTATAAACTAGGCCGCACACCAAGAGAGAGTTGCCACAGGATGTGTTTATCTAAAATTGGGCCCCTCGGCTGCGCACTACCAAAGCTCAGATGTCACTTTATTTTGGACCATAAATCACTTTTAATCCCCCTTTACAGATGATAGAAAATAAACATTTGGTTGCTTTATTATTTTAACAGAACTGGATATTTACCAGCAAACAACAAAGAATTTATGATGTGAATGAATAAGAAATACTTATGACATGTACAAAAACCCTAAAAGGCCATACATTTTATTTGTATTTTTTTTTACTGTAAGAGAGTTGTGCAACGTATGTCTCTAGCCAGCTGCAAACCATTTAATCAGTGCATCATGCATCATGCACACATCTACATTGGCTGAAAATAAAGATGTGGTCTCCTTCTCAAGTCATTTGAAAGTGGTCAAAATGTGAATTAAAAATATTGCATTAAATAAAAAGTGCTAAATATATGCCCTTTTACTAGTGCTATCAGACTTTGGTATATATTTTTATAACAAATGTTTTAGGTGCATTTTTGTGGTTTCTGTAATAAGCTCAATTATATTGGTCTTGTTATTTAACACATTAACTGACATTAATAATGAGCAATACATTTGTTACAGTATTTATGAATCTTTGTTAATGTTAGTTAATATTAAATCTGCTCACTGTTAGTTAAGGTTCATTACATATAATAGATACTTTTGATTTAATAATGTATTAGTAAATGTTCAAATTAACATCAACTAAGATTAACAAATGCTTAAGTATTTTTCATTGTTAGTTTTTGTTAACTAATGTATAACTTATGTTGACAAATGGACCCATATTGTAAAGAGGTACCCTTATTTTTATATTAATAATTAGATAACACCATAAGTCTCCCTTCACTTTCACATGTGGTTAACTGGTGTTTTAACGAATGGAACAATTGTCACCAGCAGCGCGTTAGACAACACTTAGACAAATTTAAACACATTTGAGTAGACATGAGGGGCCAAAGAGCTGACCAGCATCACACCTAAAATAACCCTGTGTTCCTGTGAAGCGCTGCAACTGTTTTGGCCTGAGGCTCAGTGACGATAATGATGTGTTGAGAGTTTTAGTTGAAAGGTCACTATTTCTGTCACAGGTTCATCGCAAGAGATACCATTTAAGGTTATTTGAGAGCTTATTGTTAAAATGGAAATAAACAACTTGCTCAAAAAGCATACATAGCTCTGAATTGAAAACCTAGGTAAGTGCGAAGATGAATTGAAAAATAAATACACAACTTTTTAAACAGAAATGCGTATATAAAATGAATAGTGCTCCAAAAAAATTTAAATTTGCTCACCTTTGGGTCATCCAAGAAATAGATGAGTTTGTTTTTTCATCTGAAGAGATTTGGAGAAATGTAGCATTGCATCACTTGCTCTGCAGTGAATGGGTGCCGTCAGAATGAGAGTCCAAACAGCTGATAAAAACATCACAATAATCCACAAGACTTCAGTCCATTTCATGAAGCGAAAAGCTGCATGTTTATGATAAACAAATTCATCACAAAGACAATTGTAACACCTTTTAATGTCTTCCAGCTAAAATACACGTCCTCCATCCATATACTGCTAATAAAGGTTGTCTCTTTTGAAGTGCAAACAGTCCTAAATTAACAAATACAATGGTAATTTTTGATGTGAGAGGACAACAGGGAATGGACTTTTTCACTGGAGTTTTCACATTTTTCCTTTTTGGGTGAACTATTCCTTTAAGGAGGAAGTAAAAAGATAAATAGACTCTGAACATTATATGTAAACTGAGCAATAGAGCCACATTTGGCTGTCTGTGGCTTTATTCTGAAATGAAACTGCATTCGAAAGATCCAGTGATAACAGAGAATAGTTCTATTTATAGTCCACCAGTTTTTCACTTACTGTTCTCTCATCATCTGTTGGCAGATTCGGGGGAGATGGCGCTCAGGTGTAAGTTCTGTGGCCGAGGTGGACGGGACAGGCGATCTCTGCGCTCACTCAGGAGGGGCGTCGGAGGAGAGAAGCCTTACCAGTGCAAACAGTGTAGCAAGAGGTTCAGCCTTAAACACCAGCTGGACACACATCACCGGGTCCACACAGGTACAACCAACCTTTAAACCCATGGGCCACTTTCCTCCAGTGTTCAGGCCTGGAAGTTTCTAGTGATCATGAAGACCTGATTCAAGAGTGTTGAATTATGGCTAGAGCTGAACTGAAAAGTGGCTCTATAGGAGAAGGATCAGATACCACTCATTTAAATAATAATGTCACTTTCTGAGAAACTGAACATTGCATTTCACTGTATAAAGATTAGATCTGTAATCTGAATTAGTGTTATTTTGGTATCACTGACATACTATTGTATTTTTTTTTATTAGTTTTTATTTGTTGTTTATGCTTTCATTTTGCTTTTTCCATTTTGGTTACAGTTTTAGTAATTTTGTTGTTTCGTCATTTTATTACTAATTGTTTTTTAAAAATGTTATAGTTTTTATTCAATTGTATTTCAGATTTAGATATTTTAGTACATTAAATTGATAATAAACTAAATAAAAATTAGAAATGCTAGCTGAAATCAAATGAATTTTTATGTTTTATTTACAGAAACAAAGATTTTTCTTTTCTTTTTAAAGTTTTAGTTTAAAACAAGTCCATCACATACAGCATCAGGTCTATATTATTTTTTTATGTGATCTCCGTGACTTATAAATATCAGCTGTATAGATTATTGTATGTTGAATCTTGGTTTGACAGCCTTCTCTGAGAAAAAAGCCTTTAATTTCTAATGAAATTTTTCTTCTTATAATTTAAAAAAAATATTTAGTAGTTTATATTTTATATATATATATATATATATATAGCAAACAGTCCTAAATTAACAAATACAATGGTAATTTTTGATGTGAGAGGACAACAGGGAATGGACTTTTTCACTGGAGTTTTCACATTTTTCCTTTTTGGGTGAACTATTCCTTTAAGGAGGAAGTAAAAAGATAAATAGACTCTGAACATTATATGTAAACTGAGCAATAGAGCCACATTTGGCTGTCTGTGGCTTTATTCTGAAATGAAACTGCATTCGAAAGATCCAGTGATAACAGAGAATAGTTCTATTTATAGTCCACCAGTTTTTCACTTACTGTTCTCTCATCATCTGTTGGCAGATTCGGGGGAGATGGCGCTCAGGTGTAAGTTCTGTGGCCGAGGTGGACGGGACAGGCGATCTCTGCGCTCACTCAGGAGGGGCGTCGGAGGAGAGAAGCCTTACCAGTGCAAACAGTGTAGCAAGAGGTTCAGCCTTAAACACCAGCTGGACACACATCACCGGGTCCACACAGGTACAACCAACCTTTAAACCCATGGGCCTTTCCTCCAGTGTTCAGGCCTGGAAGTTTCTAGTGATCATGAAGACCTGATTCAAGAGTGTTGAATTATGGCTAGAGCTGAACTCTGCTGAAAAGTGGCTCTATAGGAGAAGGATCAGATACCACTCATTTAAATAATAATGTCACTTTCTGAGAAACTGAACATTGCATTTCACTGAATAAAGATTAGATCTGTAATCTGAATTAGTGTTATTTTGGTATCACTGACATACTATTGTATTTTTTTTTATTAGTTTTTATTTGTTGTTTATGCTTTCATTTTGCTTTTTCAATTTTGGTTACAGTTTTAGTAATTTTGTTGTTTCGTCATTTTATTACTAATTGTTTTTTAAAAATGTTATAGTTTTTATTCAATTGTATTTCAGATTTAGATATTTTAGTACATTAAATTGATAATAAACTAAATAAAAATTAGAAATGCTAGCTGAAATCAAATGAATTTTTATGTTTTATTTACAGAAACAAAGATTTTTCTTTTCTTTTTAAAGTTTTAGTTTAAAACAAGTCCATCACATACAGCATCAGGTCTATATTATTTTTTTATGTGATCTCCGTGACTTATAAATATCAGCTGTATAGATTATTGTATGTTGAATCTTGGTTTGACAGCCTTCTCTGAGAAAAAAGCCTTTAATTTCTAATGAAATTTTTCTTCTTATAATTTAAAAAAAATATTTAGTAGTTTATATTTTATATATATATATATATATATATATAGTTTTAGTCCTTTAACTGCCAAGGAAACATTTCTTTTTTTAAGTTTTTTTAAGTTTACTATTTATATTTTATTTCATCTATATTCCCATTTCCAACACCGACTACAAATTTGATTAGGGATTCTGGGAAATCATGTTGAAATCTTCAGCTCAGTTCTCTCTTCCAGGTGAAAAACCATTCGAGTGTCGGCTGTGTGGCCAGCGTTCACGTGACTATTCGGCTATGATCAAGCACCTGCGTACTCACGGCGGCGCCACTCCCTACCAGTGCACCCTGTGTCTGGAGTTCTGTAGCAGCCTGGCAGCCATGCAGAAACACCTGAAGAATCACCCCACGCAGGACTTCCCTCCAGACTGGAGCCTGAGCAGCACATACCTGTACAACTGCCACACCTGAGGCCTAGGGGATAAAACATGTAGATATGGAAAATGTAATCGTTTTGTTATTTTTAAAACTTTTATGAATCTATTTTGAAGCCATTATACAAATATGATAATATATTTAATATGCATACAAAGGACATTTAAGCCAGTTGATTTTTGTTTTCTTTGAAGAACGTCTCGTTGGGTGAACATTTCACTCACCACTTAAGATGGAGTAGATTGTAATTTGCCAACGCTTATCATTTTCTCTGTGAAATATCATCACAATAGCATACAAAATATGTGTTTGTTTATTTATTGAGCTGGTCAAATCTGTACCATTTATCTAAGCACTCACTATGTGATCTATTTATGCACTGTATACAATCTTTTAATAAAAGCATTATGATCAAAACAGTAAGAGTTCACCGGTGGCTGTTTTAATGCAGAAGAAGAGCAGCATATTGAACAGCAAGCAGCTTCAGGTCTGGAAGCATGTGACGGTATATTCTGAATAAATGGATGAATTAATTGTTTTATCTTTGCACACTTAAGACAATTAGTGTAGAGCGATAAACTAGACGCAAATAAATATTTCTGTCTCCATTTACAACAATTATGAAAGAAGGTTTTAAAAGCTACTATGTAGTAAAGTATGGCCATCAATGGAGAAAGATGCTTAATGGTGTAGTTTCGGTATCTACCTGCAGGGGCTGCCAAGCAGGTCAAATAACACATGAAGAAACGTTATCATCGTTAGTTTTCTCCGTCTGTCGTGTGGTTGCAGTTACGATTTGCGGGAAGGATAATGACCCTGGGGTTGAATGTGTGACGCACCCAGATCCTGAACCATTGCAACACTGCCTCGATGCTTCTTAGCTTACTGCAACTCTGGAGGCTACATCAAGAATACCCAAACATTTCACATTGGAGTGCAAAGACAACTTCAACTTGTGACAGCTTGAGCCGACTGTACATGACATTGTTTGATGTGTCATGCCTCTCCTAACAACACGGTTTAGTGTTTCTTATTTAATGTATGGTTTCGTTTAGTGTATAATGTTCAGTTTTTCTCTGTAACCACTTACAAAGTAGGCAAACGTACGATGTCTAGTGTTTAAAACGGCGTTCCCACACGAGAGAGGGGAAAATAACCTCTGCAGTGATCGCACACGCTCAAAAAGTAAATGGCATAACCTATCCAGTCTCTATATTTAGAATTACTCAGGCTACTTAAGATTTTTGGACATGCCTAAAGAGAAAACACATTGGAACAATACTTCCGGAACCTGAACCGCTGAGAAAGGGCACCGTCAGTATCGCACTCACAACAACTAAAGAGATTCGCATTCGTTGACTTCTGACACTCGCTCCTCCTGGATGTTGTGGATAGTGAAAGTACATGCTCCTGGTGGTTTCACAATGTCGTCTTCTTGGTCGTCTCCACCCAATTTCCAGTTAGCACCGTCTTTGAGAGATTCCTGGAGCTCCAGTCCCACTTGGAGTGTCTGCAGGTGATGCTGTTCCTGCGCGCTGCACGGCGGAAGAGGCACGGGATATGTGCTGTGGAAGCGTCTCAGGTCGACTCGAAACGCCCCTTTCTCCAGTGTCATGCACGGCTCAAAACGGGCTCCCCACTCGATCTCCGTCTCGATGTAGGAAGTCTTCGCCTGGCACATCATTCCTGTCAAAATAAAGTTGCCAAACGAGCTGAGAAAACACTACCTCCACAGGATGGCGCTATGCTGTAACAAATCGCATTGGTCTTAAACTGGCCTGGTTTCTCCACTTCTGTAGTTTTAATTTAATTAAATTTTTTTGTTAAGAGTTTATTTTTCCCATGGTTTCACATTACTCTCATGATAATTCAGCACACATATCTGCCCAAATTCTCATTACTTTTGACTTTTAGTTATTTCGTTAGTTAGTTTTCATTGCTATAATCAGTGTTGTTGGATTAAACAAAAAAATGTTAATTCTGTAACTGAAATCAATCTGAAATCAAATATAAATATTACATGAAATTAGAATGATGCCTTAGAAACGAACAAAAATAAAGTTGACGTAAAAAAATTAATTAAAGCTTAATTAAAAAAATATAAAAAATGTACTGAAAAATATAAAAATAAAAGGTACATTTAAATATTAATGAATACTATAAGAGTTTACACATAACACTTAAATAATAATATGTCTATGTATACTGCTATTTATAGTACAACAAATACTACTCAAATAAGTTCTTGGCAGGTTTTCGTAAGATTCAATGGTGGCAAATGATTTTTCAGTTTAATTTCTTTTACATATATGCTTTGTTTGGTTTCAAACTCCTCACTTCTCAACAACCCAGTGGGGAAGTGAATAAAATATACCAACTAATAAAACATTTTCTTGCATTCATAGTTCTTTAAAATGCCATATTTGCTTGTCATGGCAAGACATTTGGGTCAACAGGTAAAGTGGGCTATGATTGTGAACAAACCTGTTGCTTCCACAATGCCCTCCAAGATGACAATAATCTCAAACTGTTGCTTCCGCAGCTGCTCCGGCCCAAGCTCCCAGAAAGGACTGCTGGAATCGATGGTGTGTTGAATGACCTGCGGCTCCACTAGGAACAGACGGTCAGAGCCACTCTCGTAGCCCAGGTCGATCTCAGACTGCTCCAGCGGGAGAAATTCCCCCTCTGACGTCTGCCGAGACTTGATGAGTTTAGCGCGTACTTTGGCATCCACCATGTGGCTCTCACGCAGATCGCCGAGACGGAACATAAGGCAAAGACGATCATCACGGTAGGCCACAACACAAGTACGGCTGAAAAGAAGTGTTTCTGCGCGCTTCTTGGGACGCGAAATTTTGACGAACATGCAGCCCACCATAAGGGCATCAATCATGGAGCCCACAATGCACTGCGCCATGACCAAAAGCACACCTTCGTAGCAGCGTGGCGAAACCGTGCGAGCGCCGTAGCCAATAGTCCTCTGTGTTTCTACTGAGAAGAGCAATGCTGACACAAAGCCATCTATATTTGTGTAGCAAACATCAGCGTCACCAGGAACTTCAAGATCTCCACGCAAGAATGCATTTAGCGAATAAAGCCCTGCGAAAATAAACCAGGTGACTGCGTAGCACATCATAAACACGAAAAGAAACCATCTATACTGAAGATCTACAAAAGACGTGAAGATGTCAGCCAGGAATCGTTCTCTCTCAGCCATATGTGCCAAGTCTACCCTACACTTCCCATCTTTGGAGATGTAACGGCATTGTTCGCGAAGCTCCGGTGGACAAGTAGGAGTCTGCGCATTCTCGCTCTCTATTAGCTTGTTGCGTGCTTTAGGACTGCACTCTATGTCCCGTACAGGTGTGCAGAGAGCACTGCGGGATGGGGTGCTCCACAGAGGGCTTGTGCTTGGACTTGCCATGTTGGGAACACTAAGAGCATGGCGGCAACATGGACGAATGTTCGGCTCATGTAAAGAGCAGCGCCGCATCAGCGCCAGCTCAGCCTCAGTGGGGGCACAGATACTGGGTCTCTGGCCACGCATGTACCCACGCTGAGGGCTGTAGGGCAAATCCGTGGTGCTCTTGTGGCGCCGAATGGACACGCTTGGTTTGGAGGCCTGGTTTGGCATAATGTCTGGCAAAGGAAGGGAGTTGCCACCTGTTGAATCGGGGCGATTATCGCTTTGAGGGAGAATCTGGAATAGAACATAGAGATGATGACATAAATGTCAACATTTTTCGATTTTTTGCATTTCTTAGCAAAACCATATAAGGGAAATGTCGCTGTAGCAACTTTTACCATTGCACTGGAGTTTTAGAGGATTCAAGGTTCAGTAAAGCCTTAGAAACCTTGTTAAAGAGGTCATATGATGCAATTTCAATTTTTCCTTTCTCTTTGGAGTGTTACAAGCTCTTGGTGCATAAAGAAGATCTGTAAAGTTGCAAAGTCTAAAGTCTCAAATCCAAAGAGATATTCTTATAAAAGTTAAGAGTCAGCCACGTCTACCAAAAACGGCTCGTTCTAACATGCCCCCACATATCTACGTCACTATGTGGGAAGATTTGCATAACGCCGCCCAAATGTTCATGCAAAGAAAGAAGGCGTAACTTTTATTCGCGCTGTAGTATTGTTGTTGCCGCCGCCATGTCGTGAAGGCACTGTGTGATTCGTTGTGAAAGCGAAACTACTTTGTTTGGCCTTCCAAAAGAGGACGATATCTGCTTCGTCATGCCTCGAGCTGATCCGTGTTGGTTGCTGAGGAAATACAACAACTTCGCGCCGTGGATCGTCGAATCAGCCTTCACCGTGGATGAAGCGGAGTCCAGCCCGTAGTCGTCACATGTGGTTCACACAAGCTCACCGGACGCTCCTTCGTCGAATCCCCCGCCTCTGCTCACTCTAGCCCTCCGGCCATTCCTCACTTTAGCCCCTGACCTCTGCTCACTCTAGGCCGCCGTTGCTCACTCTAGGCCAGTGTTTCCCAACCTTTTTTTAGTCGCAGCACCCTTTGGAAATTTTAACAAACTTGTGGCACCCTATAAAATTTATTTTGTCACAATATTTGAATTTCTAACTTCGATATGATAATTTGAAAAGTATAGATATTCGGTACAACAGGGAAGAACTGCAGAATATAATGTCATACAGATATTTTTTATATTATTAAAACAATTTGTCCATCAATGGTGGCAATCAGTAGGCTAATTTCTAATGAAGAGACCAGTTTATATGACCGATTTTAATGTAGGCTTTTATACACATGTAAACATTATTTAATTACCATTATAACTAGCTATCTCACACATTTTTGCTCACTCAGTGTTTTTTAAATTTTACAGTGGGGTAATTTTGGTGCAGTAGCACGAGATAGCTTGATTTCAAACTTTGAATTGAATACAAAATGACAAGTAAGCAGTCAGTAATAAAATAAGAACAAATAAAGAAATTAATAATGATAGCACAAATAAAAAATAACGACAGGCCTTCGAATTAAATAAATAGCTTTTTAGTTTTTCAGGTAGGTCTAACAGTAGGGTTAAGATATTTAACTTTCATTTTTTTTTACCAATTATTCAAATAATGTTTAGTCCTAGAAAGCTATTATTATCAGAACACGCGAGCATAACATAGCGGTTAACAGATCAGTGAATGAGAGGGCAGTGTTACCAGAGTTGCCCATATACCACACCATGTTACAGCACAGTAGGGCTATTGCAGACAGAAACAATACTGTACTACATAGATGTTTCCTGTCAGCTCGATTTTTGAGTGGACTTTGCTGTTCCGATTCGCATGAACGGTATACGAGTGGAGAGAATGAGTAGTGAACTAATTTTCGGCAGCCGAAATTTCGGTGCATCTCTAATTATTGGCGACATCAGAAATGGATATTATATAGTAGATGCTTTTTTGAACATTTTAGCATTTTAAAAAATATTAAAAAATGATTTTTTACACGGCACCCCTGCTCTCGACAGATGGCACCCCGGTTGAGAAACACTGCTCTAGGCCACCGTGTGTGACGCTGAGTTTCGTTGTGAAAGTGAAACTACTTTGTTTGGTCTTCCAAAAATGGACACGACTAGAAATCAGTGGTTAAGTTGGATTTACAACACTGTTCCAGAACATTTCAACCCAAATATTCAGATGTGTGCACCACATTTTATGGAGGAGTGTTTCCTGATCCTGGTAGAGTAGACTACAATGCCGGCTGTTCTTACTCAAAGATTGTAAGTACGTTTTTTTATATTTAAAGAGTTTTTATATATTATATATTTATATAGTTTTTTGGGCAGTGTAGAGTAGGGCTTGTTGTTTGTCATTTCTCCGATCACAAATGCAGACATGGTTTTATGTTTACGCGGCGCGAAGCAACGCAACATGTAAAAAGTCATTATAATCCATAATTATGTCCCCACTGGATGCAACAAATGCCTCGTTTATAATGGGTTTTAATGTTTTTGAATCATCGCTCTGGCCTGACAGGGCATCATCACAATGTGGTAAGGGGCGTAACATTTCCGTCACACGCTTGAGGTATTCGGCCAATCACAATGCACTGGATAGCTGGCCAATCACAATGCACTGGATAGCTAGCCAATCACAGCTAAATAGTTTTTAGAACTATTAGCTTTGTAAAAATAGATACGTTTCAGAAAGGCGGGGCATAGAGGAGAAACAATCATGTACAGTATGTGGAAAAGAATGTGTTTTTTAACCTTAAACTGCATAAACACATTTCATTACATCAAATACACAAAATAATGTTCTTTTTAGCAGCATCATATGACCCCTTTAATTAGTTTGCATGGAAGATGATTCAACCATGATATGCATACTGACATCATTTGCAACTTTTTATCTCACAATTCTGACTTTTTGTACAGAATTATATTGTGAGATATAAACTCAAAATTGCAAGATGTTTACTCACAATTGCGAGATATCAACTTGCAATTCTGAGAAGAATAGTCAGATTTGAGAGATAAGTGACAATTACCTTTTTATTTTTTAAACTGTAGCAAAATCTAAAGTATACATTGGGCATAATGATAACTATGTTAGCATCCACACCAGCATTCTGTTTATTTTAAGCACAGACTGCAGTTTTGTCATCCTCTGCTTTAAATGCTTGTGCTCTTTAAATTTGGGTGGATTGTGACTGTCAATGTTTTATCACTTATTAACTGTAAAAAAAATTCTGAAAGTGATTCTAACAATATTGTTCCTCTGTGTTATTGTTATAGCTGTGGTGTCGATATTCTCATGCAATTAAAACGATTATTAAAAGGTTATAGTTATCATTATAGTTTTCGTCCTTCCTATGAACAGGACTTTACAGTGATTATCAGTTGTTAGGGTCTTAAATTTCATTATACAAAATTATTGTATGACTTCAGAAGACTTATGTCATATGGACTCCTTTATATTTTATATAAGCAGTTTATATTTCCTTTGGAACTGCACAAAAGAATGAAAACAGGTTTTGAATGACTTAATGGGACAGTTCAACCAAAAATAATTTACATTCAAAACCTGTGTGACTTTCTTAAGTGAAAATAGTTTGAAAACGAAATTGGATCCCATTGACTCATTGTATGGACAATAAAGATTTTACTGAGAAATATCTTGTTTCACAGAAGAAAAGTCATACTGGTTTGGAACTGCATGAGGGTAAATGATGACAGAATTTCTTCTAAAGAATGAGTAAAAATTATGACAACAAATAAAAGTGATGTTTCATCATGAGGGTGTGTTGATAAAATCTACCCACTGTAGGAATATACAACTGATGGCGCACTCCATCTCCAGGTTTACACAACACAACACAGCTGGATTTGGGATTTAAATTGTTGATTGTGGCTGGTCTGGTCCTGGCATCATCTTGCGTCGGCCCCGAGGTGCCTCTGCCTTCTTCAACAGGAGCGCTTCTGACTCCACTCAGCATGATTGAGAAAATGGCACTACTTTACGCTAGTGAGGTGAAGCTGGATCCAAAACGTGCCAAAGAGAAGAGATTGTCATATATTTCTCTGTAGTATTAAATAATGAAAATACTTGTACAGAATCACTGTTTACGTGTAATTAGAAGCAGTTCAATGTACAACATGTTATTTATTTATTTATTTTTTAATAAATGAAAATATATGAACTGGGTGTGAACAAAAGGAAGGATAGGCTTAAAGAAAGCAGACAGACAGTCTGCTCTAAGCTTCTTCATCCGCTGGCTCAGCAGGATTGAGTCCTCTCCTTCAGGAAACAGTCATTAATATGCTTACATGAGCCTCCAATAAACTCTACTCTGATGACAAAGGCATTACAAAGGTTTAACTCATGATTGCTTAGTTCAATAGTTTATCAAGACGTTGAACTGATAAATGCATCCAATGCTCCATTTTTTTCTTTTAGATAATGTGATTGCTAAAAGGCAAAGCCCCCTACATCAAATAGTATAATTCTGCCAAATTCACACTGCAAAGGTGGCAGAGAAGCTCTTCTGAAGTAAAACTAAAGATGTCTTTACACAGTCGAGATAAGGCTGCTCTGTGCCTGCTCAAAATTCAGTGTAAAGGCGCATTAAAAGCCAGACTAAATTATGCCTACTCAGTCCCACTTCAGCCCCTAGTATCGAAGTATACAATTGTAATTGCTGTGTAAATGCATTTATGCCATCTCCGAGCAGCATTAAACAGTCTGTGTAAAGACACTTAAATGCCACTTTAGAAGTGCCTCTATGCCAGCTTTGCAGTTTAAAACTGCTATCAGGTGTCTCTTTACACAGACTGTTTAATGCTGCTCAGAGGTGGCATTTACACAGCTGTGATAACCATACAGCTTGGTGCTAGTGGTTGGTCAGGTGGGCTGGCATTATTTAATCAGGCTTTCATGTGGCATTACATCTTTACTCATAATTTTGAGCAGGCATAGAGCAGCCTTAACTCAGCTGTGTAAAGATGCATTAAGTGTCTTCATAGACTGTTTAATGCTGCTCAGAGGTGGCATAGTTGCATTTACACAGAAATTACAACTGTATGATTTAATACTAGGTGCTGAGCTGGATCAGAGCAGGCATAATTAAGCCTGGTTTTTATGCAGCATTGTCTACACCGAATTTTGAGCAGGCACAGAACAGCCTTAACTTGTCTATGTAAATATGCCTTAATTAATCAACCAAATATATATACTTTTGTACAATGGCATCAATAAATAAATATGAGAGCACAAAGCACTTTAAAAAAGGAAAATAAAATCAAGTCAAGACTTTATGTGACTTCTAGCTATTTTGACCAAGGCTATTAGAATAGAGCATTTTTATAACTTTTTCTTGTTCCCCAAAAACATGAAGAAAAAAAGAAGTTAGTCTTACCTAGGTAGTGTGAATGATTCCAACAAAAGCACTGGGCAGCTGGTCTCACAAGCAAGTACCGAGAATATCTTGGATGTCTGGACTGTGGACATCAAAGTTAATCATGATCAGCTTATAGTAATCCAGGTGTCTCAACAGACTACAGTAGAAAGGACAGATCAGTAATGTCATATCGCCCTTGGCATCCATATAATGAGCATGATTAGCTCTGACCGATTACACCATTTTGAGGTAAGGGAGACTGAAAAAATAAGATGAAAACAATATTAAAAGCATGAACTTGATGATCTTAACGTGTTAAGAGAAAAATACCTTATATAAATATAAAATATCAGACTTTCATTGTTGTCAGTGTTGGGGAAAGTTACTTTTAAAAGTAATGCATTACAATATTGCGTTACTCCCTAAAAAAGTAACTAATTACGTTACTTAGTTACTTTTTATGGAAAGTCATGCGTTATATTACTTTTGCGTTACTTTCGCGTTACTTTTTAAATATAAGCAGGGCTTGATTGTTTTTAATATAAGAAGTTCTATTTATAGCAAATATAAAAGCCCTTTCCCACCAAAAAGTGTAATAAATAAACCTCAGGCTGAAGGAAAAGTAAATTCACGTCTGTAGTGTACAGTAGAACGCAGGAGAAGAAACACTCTTCAGCAATAAAAAAACAAAGCACAATTGTTAGTTTCTCTAAAGTCATTTTTGCTCATTAGTATGGTTGAACTGGATCATCAAAGGTCAGCAGCAAAGACATTGGTTAATAAAATGGGATTGGATACATTTGTGTTATTTAACATATTTAATTATTGCAGGTTTGCGTCATATTCTGAGTTTGCATTTCACTATTTTAATTCATTTTGATTAATACTAAATCAGTTTTTTGTGAGTGGGATGAATTAATGCACATTCACATTTAGTCTAGCACTACAGTAGCATCATGTTCACACAGCGCACACAATTCCTCTGCACTTCCGATTTCTCCCAATATGGGGACAGGAGACTTGTCAGTCAATAAATGGGAAAACAAAGTAACTGGCGTTACGTTTTTGAAAAAGTTACTCAGATATTTTCTTGTAAATTAAAAAAGTAATGCGTTACTTTACTAGTTACTTGAAAAAAGTAATCTGATTACGTAACTCGCGTTACTTGTAATGCGTTACCCCCAACACTGGTCATTGTTTACACATTATCTGGGAATGATACTTTCTCAAGAGTAATCACTGTGTCTAAAATGGAGGGTTTATAGGGTGCCTGGGAGCTGACATGTTCAGTTCACTTAGTTTTGTCGTGGCCAGGACATAACTCGTGGGAACGTGATAATATGTCGTGGCCACGAGATCATTTTGTCGAGGTAATGACATCCTTATATTGTGGCCTCGCGATGCTATGTTGAGGGAACGACATCCATTTCTTGTGGCCATGACTTATGTTGAGGGAAGACATACAGTGGGTACAGAAAGTATTCAGACCGTGACCACAAGTTTAATGCGTAAACCAACCTGCCTGACCTTAGCAACTGGGGATTATCAGAGATGGATTCATTAATATTTTATTTTGAATTAAGAAATCATTATATTATATCACTTCTGGCATATTTTATGGTGACAGGGTGGACATGTTAAGCTTTGGCAAAGCAAGTAAGCAAACTCATACGAAGAAAATTTGTCAATTGGAAAGTCACCAACTTACTCACCTCAGCTGCTGAAATTCCCACCACTGAAGAGATAAAAAAATCTGTTGTCCTGGGCTGCATTCAGCCCCGACAAAAACGGTGCAAAACGTTTTTTAAATGGAAACGGTGGTGTGTTGAACACTCTGTTCTGATGACACAAGAGTTGCAACTATGGCAGCTGAGAAGGCCATTCTTTGTGTTCTTTTTGAAGAATGCTGCTGATTGGGCTGACATGTTTGACACACCCACCAAACAAGAGAAAACACATATCAAACCCCGTATGTTGTTCAAACTGGAAACCGTAGCAAAACGGTGCATACTGCCCCTGATGTCACTAAAGTGGATGGCCTTTTCTTAAAGGGGCGGATTCCCCAATACTGCAGGGTGGACAACCATTCAAGGGAAATGGACAAACTCTTCTTTTTTTATTAAATAAAAATATTGTTTTTATTACCAAATGATCAATACACTCAAATTGAGTTTAACAAAAAATTAACAAAATATTAATAGAGAATAATTTTTTTTTTACTATATTCTACTCTTTCAAATTTAATGAGCAGTGTATGGGACATAGCAAAATAACAAGCATCCTCTTATACAAAACAAAAAAATGTAGAAAATGTATCTAAAGAGCCAAGTAATGCTTTTGTTATGAATATAAAAACTTAGCCTAATATAACACACCCTTTCATAGTCATTTTTATGTTACGTTATCATGACAAATGAGTTATTTATGTACAGGACACCAAAAGGCACCCTACAGTGATATTGACAATAATATTATTACGTTTGATTTTAGCTAGTAATTTGATGCTATAAAAACGGGGCGTGTCGTTATGGTTGATTGGGTCTGTGGAAGTTTGGGTGGAAGTTTGATACCGCGGCTCCACCTCACGACACTACTGCGCAGACTCTGGCTCCAAACGAATCTCTACTGCGCAGACTCTGGCTCCAAACGAATCTCTACTGCGCAGACTCTGGCTCCAAACAAATCTCTACTGCGCAGACTCTGGCTCCAAATGAATTATAAGCGTTTTTGGACTTGTATTTTCCTCTTAATTTAACACTGTAGAAAGTTAATAAAGTAGGAAGTTGCAGTTTAGAGTCAGCGATATCTTTATCTTACCTTATTTGCTAAAGATTGGAAATAATTAATTTTTATTGTTTTTGTTTTTGTTTGTTTTAGTATCAATATTTGGCAACACTGCACCGGCACTTAAACTGAAAGCAATAAACAAAAAGCCCATGGACATGTTTTTGCTGACAGGATACGACATTCGGTAAGGGATACGCAAAAATGATCATGATATTATCTGTCATAAACCTTATCAATGCTGTCAAAAACAGTAGCATTTAACACCAGTACACACAGATCTGTAGAACAAGTAGGTTACAGAATGAAATTAAATACACAAAAACTAGCCATGAAGAAGTCTGTGCCATGTCATTCAGTATAATTTTCACAAATCATGCTATAAACTTTCATAAGAGCACTAGACAAAGTTGTAGTCATGTATTGTTGCAATAAACAACTGATAAAATTATCCACCCTTAAATACAGTAAAGTATTAACACATTTTGATGCAATAAATAAGGTATGATTTAAAAATAATCATCCCTCCAAAACAGAGAATACATCTTTCACAAATATCTACATGTCTGTCTCATTTAAAGTGTTTATAGGTTATATTTGTATAGGGGTTATTATAACACAATTCTTTAAAACCAACACCCAACATCACCGAACCTCACTAATTTTCTTCGCCTGGGTACGGCCATGCATACAGCGCGTGTGTTCCGAGTAGAGGGTGACACGGGAGTACATTTTCAAACCTCTCCCATCCCACTCCCTCAAAAAAAACCAAATCCCGTCGCATCCCAATTCCACGAAAAAACTGTGGGAAAGTCCTGTCCCATCCCAGTCCCAGAATGACTCCCACTCCCGGTTGTGTCCCAGAATCTGTCAGTTACAGTAAAAATACAGTAAAGATCACAGCATGCCCAGATTGCCCACCTTAGTTGAATAATAATAATCATCATTTTTTTGTTATTTTATTGAACTAAAAGCCAGTTTAAACTTCATTAAATTTCATGTAAATCATCCATGTAAACACCGGCATGCACACACACAACGCATGCGCACATTATATAACCAAATTTTCACTGAGTTTTCATTTAGATGGAGTCCCACTGTTGCTATGCAAGAACAAGAGAGTGTCCACAGATTCCAGCTTGAGGCTGGTGCACCTCTCCTCAATTAATCTTCCAGCAACACTGAAGCTCCTCTCTGACGGGGTACATGTTGCTGGGATTGCCAGCAGCTTACTGGCAACTGGCACCAGCCAACCTGACATCTCCTGCCAGAAGTTGAGAAGGGACTGGCCGGTCACCATTGTAGGCTCATTCATATATTCCAGCACCAATTCACGGCTCCATGACTCGATAGTGTTACAATCGAGTTTGCATTATAAGCATAATGCTTTATATAGTGCAAAATACACGTCTTTAAATTGATGGAGAGGTAATATACAAGTTGTAGGTAGGTAGTGATTGTGTGTGTACACTGTGTTGCTTTCCATAAGTGAGAGAGAAAACGTTTTACTTATATTAGAAATTTCCTTATGGTGCACTGTCTGTTCTTAGTACTAACACTATGAATTACCCTGTTGGACACTTGTTCTCTCCTCTATCCCTAGTCTTTCTGTGATTGCTGCCAGTGTGTTGATAACCTCTTCATATTCCTCAGCATTTAGAGTTTTTCTCTTTTTTTTTTTACTGTGTTTTTATTAAACTTTGTATAAACATACCAATACACACATAGCATTTTCTTAAAACATTAATGCACCAATAATACATAAATAAATCAAAAAGATAAATAAATAACCATATAAAGTATAAGGAAAAAAATATGGAACCGTCACATGGTATGGAATATGAAAATATGGAATGTCCTGAGCTTCTCCTCAACAGCCAGTGCGTGACGCATCTTCTTCTTCTTCTTGCTTTACGGCGGACCGCAGACTTATAAGTGCATTACCGCCACCTATCTCCCAAATGGACCATTGACACTCCTAATTGAGATTGTAGATAGAGTGTCAATGGTCCATTTGAGAGATAGGTGGCGGTAATGCACTTATAAATCTGCGATCCGCCATAAAGTAAGAAGACGACTCAGGACAGTTTAGACATTGCAGTGCATCAGAGGTAAAAAAACGATATAAATACTGTTCAGTTTCTTGCACAGATCGATCATTTCGTGTCTTTACACAACACGAGCAGCAGGGTTTAATTTGGTTTTGTTTGTGTATGGGTTTTTTTTACTCTCAAAGCCGTGATTCCCATTCACCTCCATTATAAGACTGACAGACTACAACGGTTTGAGTTAAAAATCTTCGTTTGTGTTCTACTGGAGAAACAAAGTCACCTACATCTTGGATGCCCTGAGGGTAAGCAGATAAACATCAAATTGTAATTTTTGGGTGAACTATCCCTTTAAGTGACGTTGATGGCCGACAAAAAGGGGGAGCTAATGCAATCTATTTTTGCTTATAAGAAACCAAAACTGACGCGAAGGAGAGTGGGCTCGTGATGGCAAGCAAAAGACGTGAAGATAAAGGCGGTTGGGATAAGCTAAAAGGAAAAAAGTGAACAGTTAC